TGGATCACACTGTCCTCCTTTCTCCCTGGGGGCTGTCATTCCCCTTTTCTTGGGGGATGTTATTTTCCATATCTTTCAGAATCTCCCTTGCTAAGTTCAAGGACAATATGGAGAAATAGGGTGATATGATACTAGCTTTAGTGGACTTGGAATGAATTGGAGGGATAGGAGGTCTCTGGTGGCTTGCTGCAGGGCCCTGTCCTCAGGCTTGTCCTGGCCAGTCTTTTAGTTGTCTGAATGAGGACTTCCACACTTCAGGAGACCCAGCTCTATGCTCCTTCCTCTGTTCCAATTTGACTCACTTTCTACCCACTCTTAGATTGGGAGAAGATGGGTTCAAGGATCAGTTCGTCACCACCTTCCACTGACTATTGTTGGACTAGGATGAATATGTCAGCTGCTCCCTTTGGCAGAAGGGAGGAATTTCTATGCTGTGGCTGTTGGTGGGACAGGTCCTTTTTCTCTCTCCCATTCTCTCCTACTGGCCACCAACAGGAAAGTGGACCCACAGCAGGTCCCTGCAGGCTTCCTAAGGCAATATGGGGACGTTGGTAACATTGTGGGTGGAAAAGTAGAGAGCAGCAAGAAACCTGAGTCCTGATCACGGCGTTATGGAGCTGCTGAATCCACCCTGCCTGCGCCATCTTGAGACTTACTGTGTGTGTGTTTGGGGGGGGGGGTGTCTTAATTCTCCCACTGGGCTTGAGAGACCTTTGGTCTCTACCTAGCCAAAAGCCAAGGATGTGAGAATATCTGAATCCTGTAAAAGATTTCCCCACCTTGCTAAAGACAGCATCTGAGTCCTGGAGAAGGGATTTCCCTGCCTCTTTATAGTCCACCTGCTTGGTGACCCCACCTACTTTCTTTTGTGACTATAAAAGCTCCTGTAACTTCTTCCACAGAGGGAAGAGCTATATCATTCCATGTCGCTTTGAACTGTGTTTCTGGGTCATAGTTTATTCTGATTTGGCTCAGAATAAACTATTGTTTTCTTAATCTCCTCAAAGCAGAGTTATTTTAATTGCAACTGAAGACCTGGATGGATGGCCACAAGTGAGAGTCTTGGACTTGGATATGTTCACTTGGGGCATGCTCCGTAGGTATCAGCAATGTGAGCAGACTGGCAAGGATGCTACCCAGACTCAGCATCTGGAATCCGGGAAGTGATGTTTCCACACGGCTCTAATCTGACCCTCCCTCCATGGAGCATCGTGTCCTGTACTAGATGCTAAAGTTTAATTAAAACATTGATCAAGAAGTGCCTGGACACATGGCAGCAAATGTGAGGAGCTTCTGCCTAAATTTGGGGTCTTCCAAAAACAGACCTCGAAACTAGGATCTGTGTACCAGAAGTTCATTTTGGAGATGGTTCTAGGAAGCCTGACGAACAAATGGGGAGGAGAAAGAAGAAAGGAAGAAAAGTCCACCAAGGATGCAGTAATGAACGAGTGACCACTGTGGGCGAGTGAATGGGCGGCCACTGTGGGCGAGTGAGGCTTAACCCAGGTGGGGACCCGTGACAGACTGTGTAGTACACTCCTGTAGAGTATCATTCCTCTAGGAGGGAGGTGCCATGGTATTTGTCACCAACTCCCATAAGACATTGGTTGATGGTAGAAGGATATTAATTTTATGGCATTTTTAGTTTGCTGAGTTGGGAGGCCATATCTGTCCAGGGGCCAGAGGGCTCCCCTAGACCAGGGAGCTATATGATGGGGACCTTTCCAGGTTCATGGGTGGGTACCAAGATATCTGCTATAGTCTTAGAAACTAAGCATGTTTCATCCAAAAGAGAAAACTCAAGCCACAGACTTCAGCAGTGTGAGAATTTGTTTTTGGTAAGACTTAAGAACTGGGGCTGGGGTTGTAGCTCAGTGGCAGAGCACTTGCCTAGCGTGTGTGAGGCACTGGGTTTGATTCTCAGCACCACATACAAATAAATAAAGGTCCGTCAACAACTAAAAAATTATTAAAAAAAAAAAGACTTACGAACGTCAGAGAATGGAAGAAAAAAGCCCTTGGAAGCCTTGGGAGCCAGGAGCAGGGGTGAAGGTGAGTGGCCAGGGGAACTTGGCCCCTTTCTACCTTGTGATTGGGAATGCGGGGGACTTTGATGCCAACAAACAATATTCAGCAGGGAAGACAAGTTCTCCCACAGGAAAACTAGGTCCTCTAAGCAGCCTCGGCTCTCCTGTTATCCTGCCCTTTCTTGAAGCACAGGAAAGCCTGAGCCACTTGCAGAGGTCAAAGGAGGTCTCCATTGTCACTCATCATGGAATTAATTAATGAAACTGGTCTCAGCCTCACTAATTAAGGCTGGAAAAGAATTCAAAATTGTGAAGGAGGAAGAAAACCCAGAGCCTAACCACCCTCCATGACAGCTGAGGCAGCAGCAGGCCTGGGTGGGGTCTCAAGGGTTCAATCTATCTTCTGTGGTCTAACCTGAGTCAGACCTGGTTGGGCTTTAGCCAGCACTACCATCTTGTTTCCCTGGGCCCATCTGCAGCCCGCCCTGCACAAATAGGGGAACCCAGCCCATCACCTCCAGGATTGAAGCACTCACTCATCAAATTCAAATCCCAGCTGTACCCATTTTGCATTTATGACCTTGGGCATGTTTGAGCTCTGGGACCTCAAGGGTAGAGTGAGGATAATAATGCCTTCCCTGCAAGGCTGCGAAGAGGAAGAAGCCAGCTAGAGGTGACAGCGGTGGTGGTAGTGGTCACCTGATGTTTTTTTTTCCTGATCCAATCAACTCTGCAACACCAATTTGGTGTCAAGACTTCTACCCAAAGTCAGTATCTGATCCTGCAAGTCAGTCTCCATTCAGATGCTAGTTACAGTGTACTTCTGAGCAACCAGATATGAAGTAAGGGATCCTCCTCAATGTGCAAAAAATGTGCAAAAAAATGACTCTGAGAACTCAGAAAAACATTTTACTTTTATTGGTTTATTGTAAAGGGTACAAGTAAACATCCAGATGAAGAGGTGGACAGGGGGAGGTTGAGATGGGCCTTAAGTGTAGCCTATGTCCCTGAGGATTTGGGGAGTGCCACCCTGCCACCGAGAAGTGACTGATGTGTTCACCGTTCTGGAAGTTTTTGGAATTTGAAGCTCTTTGCATTGTTCAGAAGTTTTTATAATCCCATCTGCAGTCCGCATGACCCGCTTGGCTGGAGTCAATGGGCTTCGTGAAAGTTCCCGCCCCTATTCACCCTGAGCAGCCACATTGGCAAAAACACAGATGTGACCCAAAGGGCCTCATTGTGAGTAATAAAATATTGCTATCACTTGAAAAATTCCAAGGCTTTTAGGAGCCTTTTGCCAGGAATTGGGATCGAAGACCAAATATATTTTCTACCGTTCTACAGCATCACTGCTGAGGGATGCTCCCTCATCGCTTCACTGGATGAAAATGGCTGCCATTTCTGTGCAGAGGAAGCCTGGACCTGTTCTGTGCCATCAGCACTAGGGTTGGGAATGAGTCTGGCTGCAAGGAACTGGAGCCTCCTGACTGTAGGGGAAGGGAGTTGGCCAGCTTTGTTCTGGGCTCTCCTCCCTTTCCTCCTACGTGGGGCCACCTGGCTTCCTGTACCTGCCCCCCTTGGCTGTCTTTCCCTCACCTCTGCCCAGACTCTTTCCTCTCTTACTGGGTGGCCCCAGCCCCAGGCATGTTCACTGGAGCTGGTTTGTAGGGCTGTTTGCTGGTGTCTTTCTCCCCGGTGGTATTCCCAGGCTTTTTTAGTGTAGACCAGCCATTCTGCGAAGATGGGATCATAGTCTTCCCCCTGCAGTGCTCTTTCAGGAACTTGGTTCACTTTGTGGCTGGAGAATTAGGCACCTGTGTGACTTATCCAGTGTCCAGAACTCAGATCCTTCCTCCCTACCGCTGCCACCTCCTGGAGATTTAAGGAAACGACTCAGGAAAATCCCAGAGAGCTGACTCTTCCTATTTTTGTGTATTTCCTGTGCCTCATCCCCTGATTTTTTCCTCCCCCATACCAACTGGAATTCAAAGCTCAGCCCCATTACCAGCACCCACTAAATAATTCACATGGGTGACATCTTTGCTCCAAGATGGAGTGACCGAAGGGCACATCTCACTCCTCTGCCCCCTGTGGCTCCTTGCGGCTCCCTGCATCACCTAACCCCTCTCTCCTCTCTCCCTTTCTACAGCAACAAACTGAATCTTCCTCCTGTCCCATGCAAAGCAAGTCCTTCCACACCCAGACCTCTTGAGAGCTCTCCTTCTACCTTAAGTGCTCAACAAGGTCATGTGTCAAATCAAGATCCCTTCCTAAGAGGGGGAAAAAGTGCGAGTCTTCCCTACTTGGGAATCTTATAAGTGATGGTGATTCCCACTGGATACTCATCCTGAATTCATCTCTCATCCAATCCTAAGCCTTCTAAAATTGCCTCCCCTTTTTACTATGGTCCTTCTCCTGTCTTTCTCCCCCTAGCAGAACCCTCTCCTCTGTCTCCAGAGGACTCTGCCACCTCTACTTGGGCCTCTCTCTTGTCAATCTCTTGGTTCTTGAGGCTCACAGCAGACAATATCTTCCTGTAGGTCAGGGCGAGTGCCTGACCCACAATCTTGTTGGTTTCTGACCCATAGGTCTCTGCTGCTGCCTTCTAAAGGGAGGATAATGCTAGGTGTTCTTATGGAACCCTTCTGGCCCACTCTAAAACGCCCAGTGTGTCCTCAAGGCCAGGGTTCAGGGGCAGTGGTGCAGGTGGAGCAGTGGGCATTGGGTGCAATCCATACTGAGCCATGAACAAACAGCTCCTGTTGGACAGAGCAAGCTGACCAGAGCAGCAAATTGGAGGCTCCATTTCTAGCTGGAGGTCAGCCATGGAGCTGACCAGCACAGAGAGCCACTGAGGATGGTCCCCAGAGAGGCCCTGGTGTCGTGAGGGCACGGCAGGCCAGGTGGCCTCAGAGCTGGGCCTGCTGGAGGCAGGCACTGTGCCACCCCTTCAGAGACTGGCTGTCCCTGCAGGTTCATGACCGCCTGGATCGCTACTGCTGTGGCTTCGAGCCTGAGCCCTCAGACCCCTGTGTGGAAGAAAGACTCCGAGAGAAATGCTGGAACCCTGCAGAGCTGCGACTGGTCCACATCCTGGTATGTCTCCACCGCATAACAGCTCCTTGTCACTCCAGACCTGGGTCTTCCTGTTCCTTGTGGAAGACACTGTTGGCGAGTCTCAGTTTCCCAATCCTGTTCTTCTTAGCAGCAGAACCCTTTGCCTGTATATTTCCTGGAATCTGCAATGAATGCATAAATCTGACCAAATGGAGCTTTTAGGGTGTGGCTGAGGTGGGGTGGAGGTGGAACTCTACGGCCCCAGAGAAACTCCAGAGAACCCTGAGGGCTCCTGGAGTTTGAGAACAGGTCTTTGAGTGGACTGGAGAAGAGGCAGAGAGCGAGGAAGCAGGTGTCCTGAAAACAAAATCTCCTGACTTAAGCTTAGGTTGCTAGAGAGGATTGTGGGGAATTAGCATGGCATTTTGAAGAATAATGCAGGGGATGGAGTGTGTGCATGGGAGTAGGAGCCAGAAGAGATGGTTTCCAGTCCTAACCACACCTTATTTTTCTTAAGGTACTAAAGAATTTTGTTGCTGGTTGTACTTTGGAAAAGGGTTTGGAGACACTAAGCTCTCCTCCTCTGGAAATAGTCTGATCAGTGCTTTCTGAGGATAAATGGTGTGAGTCACTTGTGCTTTTAATCATGCTCAGGGGATGCCAGGTGCTCAGGTGCAGGTGGCAAAGTAGGTGTGTAGGTGTACACACGTATGTAGTGTGAGCATGCACGTGTGCAATCTCTTATGATGACCTGAGGAGTAGGCCCCTTTTGCACCTCCCAGCTCCCACTCATGCCCCCGCAAACAGGAAGCTGTTCCTTGTCTTGTACGTTAGCAGGTGGTGCTGGGGCTTAACTCTCTAGGTCCAGGTGTGAACCAGCCAGGCTACTTATAAGCTGTGATCTTGTGCAAATTGCTTTTTTTTTTTTTAATTGCTTCTGTTAAATGAGGCTAATCTAGTGTGTTCCTCCTAGGGTTGCTAGGAGGATTAATTGAGATCATGTTTGGGAAGCACTTAGCATAGTACCCCTTATAGAGTAAGCACTCAATCACAGGGACCATTTGGACAAGTAGGATGGATTGTGGGGACTGACAGCTCAGGGTCCCCAGCCCCTTAAGACTGACAGTCCATAGGTGCCAGCTATCCTGCACCCTTACCCACCCCTCTGTGTCCATCGTCTCCCCCGCCCCCGCCAGGTTCGGAGCAGCAATCCATCTCACCTGGTCTACATCGATAATGCCGGCCACCTTCAGCACCCTGAGGACAAGCTGAACTTTCGGCTGCTAGAAGGCATTGACGGGTGAGGATCTGAGGGGTTGGGCTGCAGGCTGTGGGACCACGGAAAGCCGCAGTCCATCAGACCAAAGTTGTTAGATCTGAGCTTTAAGTGGGGAGCCCTGAGAAAGCTGACAGGGGTACACCCTGATATCCTCCTGTTTCTGAAGAACCCGTGGCCCTACTGGGGTCTGGGAAGGCTAGTTCTTCCCCTGCTGTGGGTGGGAGAGCTAGCCTGGGGCCTGATATTCCCTGCTCACCCTTTGCAGGCAGCTGGGTCCTCCCAGGGCTTATTCTGGTTCTGCATTTGCCAAACAGAGAAGAGGAGAGCAGTCTTGATCCACCAGGCTTCTCTGTGGGATGGGCCCCATCTAGAAGATCTGCCCTCTGCTTTCACAGCACAGCAGGTCAAAAAATCCCCTGAGGACGAGATGGCAGAAGCGGGCCTGGGAACTTTGCCTGGTTTCTCCAGCTGTGCAACTTTGACAGTCTGCCTTCGCCTTTCACTGGAACTTTCTGAGATCACTTTTGCTTTCCCTTTCTATTGTGGGGTTCTGGGGACTTTGCTGCAGGTTTCCCGAGTCTGCTGTGCAGGTTCTTGCATCAGGCTGCCTACAGAATCTGCTGCTCAAGTCGTTGCAGATGGACCCAGTGTTCTGGGAGAGCCAAGGTGGAGCCCAGGGGCTGAAGCAGGTCCTGCAGACCCTGGAGCGGCGGGGGCAAGTCCTGCTGGGACACATCCGGAAGCACAACCTCACACTCTTCAGGGACAAGGACCCGTGAGCCCACGGCTGCCCAGACAGGGCCCAGTTGCTGATGGACTCCTCACCGCACAACCCTCTGCCAAGGAGCATCTGTCTGATGTTCATATTTCCTTGGGCTCACCCATCACCAGGACAAGCAGGAAAAGCCAAAAACCAGAGGGTCACATGGATGCCATGGACTATTCCAGCTGGCTGGACAGGGGATGTGTGTTGAATTTTCAATCTCTCCACATTTTTTTCCCTGCCTTCTGGGCTCTGGCTGTTAACCCTGTCGCACAAATAAACGAGGTTGATTCTGGCCTGAGATTTTAAAGCCTATAAAGACAAATGCTTTGGTTTTACTATTCAATTCCTACCAGTTATGGGTTTTTTTGTTTGTTTTTTTAAAAGTGATAAAAGTAATCATGTTCACTAAAATCAAATCCATGAATAATAGAAGCAAAGAGGACAATAAGTGAAAGTACCAGAACCTCCCACAAGGATGTTTGTGTGTATATGTTCTTTAAATACACACTATGTGCAAATAAAGAATTGGAATTGTGCTTTGCTTTTCAATCACACTCTTTACTTTTTACTAAATTCTGTATTCATCTGAACTGACCTCATTTTTATTGGTGGGTACATGGAATTCCAAGGCAGGAATGTGTCATATTTTATTTAGACATTCCCATAATAATGAACATTAAATGGTTCTAATTTTTTTTTCTTTTACAACAGTTATAAACAATGGTGCTATGAACATCACTGCATGACATGAAATATTTGCCAGCTAGATTCCCAGAAGTGGGTTTCTGGGTCCAAGTTACGGGCATTACTTATTTTAAAAGACATTGCTATCTAAAATGTGCTGTCAATCTAAGAGGGCAGAGAACTGATTATTTCCCTACACCCTAATACTTGATATCCTCAGAGTTGGTTTTTTATCACTTGAAGAAATAAATTTATTCATTATAAACACCAATTTATTGTATTCAATTTTCCAATATCTTTGTATTTTTGTTTTGTGGTGCTGGGGATTGAACCCAGAGCCTTGTGCATGTGAGGAGAGTAAGCACTCTACCAACTGAGCTATATCCCAGCCCCGATATCCTTGTACTACATTTTTATTCAAATTGGTTAAACATGAACATAGAATGCATTTTGACACATCATACATAAATGGAGTATAACTTCTCGTTCTTCTGGTAGTACGTGATGTAGAGTTACACTGGTTGTGTAGTACATAGGATAATAATGTCTGATTCAGTCTATTATCCTTCCTCCCCTCCTTGCCCCCTCCCTTCACTCCCTGCTATCTAATCCAAAGTACCTCTATTCTTTCCTAGCCATGCCCCCTTATTGCGAATTAGCATCTACATATCAGAGAGAACATTTAGCCTTGGTTCTGTAGGATTGGCTTATTTCACTAAGCATAATATTCTCCAGTTCCATCCATTTACCAGCAAATGCCATAATTTCATTCTTTAAGGCTGAGTAATATGTCCATTGTGTATGTATACCACATTTTCTTTATCCATTCATTGGACTTGGTTTTTATCTAAGATGGAGACCTATTTTAAAATCTACATTTTCTTTTCTTTTCTTTTTTCTTTTTTTTTTTTTTTTTGTCCTGAGGTTGAATCCTGGAATGCTCTACTACTGAGCTCCATCCCCAGGATTTTTTTGAGATGGGGGTCTCACTAAGTTGCTCAGGCTGACTTCAAACTTGCAACCCTCCCGCCTCATCTCCTGAGTTGCTGGGATTACCATGCTCAGCTGCATTTCTCTTATTACTAATGAAATGATCTTTCCATTTTTAGGCTTGTCATTTGCATTTTCTGTGGGTTGTCTTGTCTTCTGAAGGTATTTATCATTTCCTTGTTAATCTGGTAGAGATCTTCCAGTCTAATTAGTATAATCAATCTTTCCTGTTAAACATGTTATGAATGCTTTCTTCAAGTATGCCATTTGTGTCTGTTAATGGAGTCTTTGGCCAACTGGAAAATTTTAATTTTCATGTGTGTCTCGTCCCAAGACTAAAACACTCAGGGTCACTCCAGGTGAACTGGGCTGCATGAAATAACCACACAAGAGACAGAGATACCTTTCTCTTTAGGGTCCTTTGACAGCTCCTCTGACCTTAAGGGTCCACAAAAAGAGAGCAAGCGAGTGAGCAGGTGCTGAACCCTTTTACTGAGGAGAAGCCATTCAAATGAGGCCAGGGGTCAGGTTTCAGGGGGTTGAGTCTAGCTTCATGATGTCAGCTGTCAGCTGGTTGACTGTGGCAAGGAGGAAGGCCACACACAAAGGCAGAGAAAGAGAAGGGGACACACAAAGGGAGTTTCCATGGAACATTCTATCCCAAACAGGGCAAAAGGGTATAGTTATAAAAGAACAGGTGAGTGTAGCTCTTTCCGATTCCTGGTGGTGCATCAGGACTGGAAGGCGTGGTAACTCCATGTGGCTTCCCACACATGTGATCAAATTTCTTCTTTTCCTTAGAGTCTCCTATATTTCATGTCCTCTTAGGCTGTCACTATTCTGAGGATTGTTTAAATACTCATATATATTTATTTTCATATTCATTTTCAGTCCGAATGAAATTTATACTTGAGAATGGTGTGGATTAGAGATCTTTCATTTTCCCTCCAGTGGAGAGTCAGTTGTTTCAACATCAAGAGTCTCTTCTTCACTGATGGGGAAGTTGTACCCTTATCAGACGTGAAATACACATGTCCACCATGGTCCCTTTGTGATTTCTGTTCCACTGATTTTTTTTTAATTCCTGCATCAATATGACCCTTTTAATTTAAAGTTTGATTTTCTTCCTATCTAGTAGGGCAGGCTCCTTTCTTTTTGTTCTACTTTAATTTTTTCTTTGCTATTTTTGTGCATTTGTCTTTAATATGATCTCATTTCCTGGAAGCATGCCACTCTTCTCCCACAGTTCTCAAAATCCCATTGGTGTTTTGATTGGGATTCTGTCAAATTATAGATGAATTGGCATCAATCTGACTCATTTAACTATTGAGTGCTCAACCTTCAAGGACTTGACTTATCAGTTCACTATTCTTTTTTTTTTAAAAAATGTTTTTAGTTGTAGTTAGACATAATACCTTTTATTTCATTTATTTTTATACGGTGCTGAGGATTGAACCAGCGCCTCGCAAATGCTAGGTGAGCGCTGTACCGCTGAGCCACAACCCTGGCCTCCACTTATTCTTTGATCTAATAAAATTTTAAAGTTTTCTTCCATAAATAAGCTCACCTTAAACATATAATTTTTAGCAATTGAGAATGATTTTTTATTTAGATTTTTAAAATAAATATTTAGATGCATGTCTTAGGGTTTTTAAGTGGAAAATCATATTTTCACAGAAGGATAAAAATTACCTTTTAAAATCTTTTGTGTATGAATGTATACCTGTCAATTATTTCTGTTGTCTTGGGATCTCTCTGGAAGAAAGTTGAATAATAGCAATAATAGCAACATCTGCATCTTATTCCTAACTTAAATGAGAGAACACCTACGGGTTCATCACTGACTATTATCAGACTTAAATCATTTCTGAAATATGTCTTTCACCAAGTCAAGGAAGGTCAAATCTATTTTTATTCTTTAAGAATTTTCAAAAAAAATCAAGATTTTAGGGGATCAAAGATCAAGATTGTAGGCATTTTATGAAATGCCTCTTCAGTGTCTATTGAACATACTGTTTTTCTCCTTTCTTTTCTAATACTAAATAACTTATGTTATCAGAATAAACCTGTTGGGCTGAGGTATATTAGTCTTCTAGGAACTGAAGCATTTGATTTACTAATATTTTATTTCAAATCTTTGCATATATATTCATGGATGGTCTAAAGTTTCCTTCAGTACTCTATGGCCATCTTGTTGAATCTAAGCAAGCCTCACAAAATAAATACAGAATCTTGTCCTTTTTTTTTTTTACTAATTTAAATATGAATCATTTATTCAAAGGTTTTACAGAACTCTCCCATAAAACCTTCTGGTCCCTGTGCCTTTCACCAGATTTTTTTTTTACAACCTTTTCAAGGAGCTTCCAACCCAGTGTGCGAGGTGGTGTGAGGGGCTACAATCAACCAGCACACCGCTCCGTGGGCATGGAAAGGCGGGTGTGTTCTAGGCAAGGCAAGGCCCTTGGAAGAGGGATTTTGGCTTCAGGTCGCTCAGGGGTTTATCTGATGGTCACCAAGATGTGCTTCTTTGACTTCTTGTCTTTTCTCCCTTTGCTCTCAGTCCTCTCCAAGGATACCCAGGCCAAGCTTTCCTCCTGGACCCAGCCAGTTTCTATTTACCAGACACTGCTCTGCCTTCTGCCTAATGAACCAACTCAGCCAGAGGTGGGAGTGACACATTTACACTCTGGGAGAATGGCAAGGAGAGAGGAATACAAAGAGACATTTCATTGCCAAAGCAGAGTTGGGGCTGTCCCATCAGGTGAGACTCATTCTACTTAGAAAAAAATAACCTAGCCGACACTGTCTGATACTGGGGGGACTGAATATACAAACGGACAGTAGCCAGACCACACCTGACAATAGAACTATGACATGCAACCTCTGCACAACCAGCCCAGGAAACCAAACCACAGCATCTCAGCATCAGCCCAGTAGGGTGAGGACTTGGCCGATGGCTGTCAGCTTCCCCACTTCTTTTTTTTTTTCTTTCTGATCTCCTTCTCCAGGTCAGGACCAACCAGAGAAAGCCACCCCTAACCTGGCTCAGAGGCACTCCAGTTCTAGGTAACCCACCTCCAGAATCCCCCATATTAATAGCATCCACTCAGGGACACCTGACACCCTCCTTTTCCTCCAGTATAAACTCTCCCACTCCTCTGCCTACCTTGGAGTCCCTGCCAGACACAAATGATCGCTGACTCTCTAGCCAGAGCAAGCCCGTTCTCGTGTGGGAGGTCTTTGTTGATTTCCACACCATGGCTGTGAGAGTTGAACAGAGATGGTAATCTGGGTGATGGCAGCTATCTGGCCTCTATGGGGTAGCAGAGTCACATTCTGAGAACAGGTTCCCTTACATCTAACTGGGTCTGGATGACCACCTGGGAAAGGAGGGGTATTCTGCTGGCAGGTGGCATGGCTGGGGAGGGTGTGAAGCTTTCCTGAAAACACCAAGCCAGACTCTTCCTGTCTGTAGATGAGTTAAGCCCTTTGTGTCCTGGACATGATGAGAATTCTGCTCAGCACAGAAGGGGGAATGTGTGGGCAGACCCTGAGCAACCCCCTGCTAGCCTGTCCAGTGCATATCAACCACTGGTGACACTGTGGGACAAGGCCCAGGTCTCCCTGCCCAGCCCACCCAGTGAAGATACCATTTCTGGATGCTTCTCTCAACTGGCTCTTTCCTCCCTCTTCACCATGAAAGGTGGCTCACATGGATAAAGCATTTAACCTCACTGACTCTATGGATAGACATGATTATTATTATCTTCGTATTATTGATGATGCACAGAGAGGGTAACTTACCTGAGGTTACACAGCTTGTAGTTGGAAGGGTGAGACTTCAAGCCCAGGCAGGAAGTGTGCTAGCAATTCTCACTCCCAAGACCACCACTGAGTGATGCTCTCATTGCCCTCCCAGCCACGGACAGCTCCTCTCCTGGCTGTCCCTTTGGATGCATCTCTTTCTCTTTTCTGTTTTTATTTATTTTTTGGGTACTGGGGAT